AAAAAAACTTCACTGTTGTTTTCTTCTGAACAGGCCCAATTCCCAACATTGTCTCTAAAGTCCAGATGAATATGACGATATGGTGATTGTGTGTTAAAATCAGGAGGATTTCCTAATTTTTTACTTGTAGATTTGTGCCTTTTAAATCTGAGTTTTTTCCTCTGATGATTACCCCTCTCCCCCCGCTCCAATTTTTAAAAAACGTGCTGTGGCCCTAATACGTAGTTGTATCTTACACCTCAATCAAAGTCCATAAGAAAAAAAAATGGAGAATTAAAACAAGAACACTGTCCATTATTTACTTAATGCGCTGCCAACAAGCCTCGTAGTATAGGCCTTTGTTGTTTTTGATCAGCAGATGTGGTGTTTTCAGTAGTCGTATCAGGGGACTTGAAACAATTATTAAAAAATAATAATAGTACATTTTCATTACCATGTCATCAGAGCAGCGCTGTAGTGTGGCAGATAAAGAAAGTAGTTAAAGTCAGATAGTAAAACATGTTGTAAACAAAGTCCATGACTTTGCGGTGTGTGTGTGTGTGTGTGGTAAGCAGAATACATCTTTAACACATTTAACATCCTTTAACATTAAGACATTATGGTTCTTGAGTAAAACAGGTGTTTTTTTTCCCCCTGAGGAGGAAGGCATACTGTCGATACGAGATGAGAACATTGGTGAATACAAGTTCTCTTAAATCTCTTGCACAAAACATTTGAACTAATCTGTTCTTGTGGCTGTTCTCACCACACACAGGCGAATCAAAGTACCTATGCAACACCTGTGGAGCAACTTTCTACCGAGCCTCAGCTCTGAGCAAACACCTGAAGAAGCACCAGCCCAAACCTGACGTCCGTCCGTTTGCTTGTGCTCAGTGAGTAACTGTCCATCTTTTACTGACTCAAGGCGTGTTTCGAGATGACGTTTTAACGTATGTACTTATGTTACCTGCAGCTGTGATAAGAGGTTCTATGAAGCAAAAGATCTCCAGCAGCACATGAACAAGCACATGGGCCTCAAGCCGTTCCAGTGCCAGGTGTGTGGAAAATGCTACAGCTGGAAGAAGGACTGGTACTCCCATGTCAAGTCCCACAGCGTGGCGGAGCCGTTTAAGTAAGTGTAAGGCTGCGTTCAGACTGCAGGCCAATGTGACCCAAATCTGATTTTTTTTGCCCAGATGTGACTCAGATCCGATCTTTTTATGGCAGTGTGAACAGGCCAAGTCACGTGGAATCTGATCTTTTCACATTGGGATTTGAGCCACTTTCATATGTGGTCCAAATCCGATACAGATCGGATCTTTTTAAATGCGACCTGAGTCTGGACACTCGGGTCGGAATTGATGCAGCTTTGACATCACTGTTGAGCAGCTGTTGTCAAAGCCGTGGTGAAGGAATAATCTCCACAAAAAGCCATCATACATGTGGCTCTCTTTCTTCTCTACCTTGCTATCTTCTGCTCACAAATTCCCTTTCTTACACTTAAGGCATCTAATCCACCGGACCGCGAGCACTCTTCTGAGTTACGTACATGCTACTTGTCCGAGTGGACGCAGTAGAGCGAGAGAGAGAGAGAGAGAGAGGGAGGGAGTGAGTTGTGGGGCAGTCGCGTTGTACAGCGCCAGAAACTGTAATGAAAAGAACAGAAAGTTGTGAACACTGTGAGAGGACAAAAAAAAAACAGTCTACCGTGAGAATCGGGAGGGTTAGTAAGTAGGGGTCACCCGAAGCTAACTTCTGTGGCTCCTTGTTTACTTCTGTACAACAGTGTGCTGCTGCGTGTGACATCGTATTCTTCTGTGCATGCGGGTCACTTTCGGGCCGTGAAGAGTTCACACTGGAGTCTGAAATGGGCCACATTTAAACAATAATGTGAACTGTCAAAAATCAGATCTGAGAAAAAATTGGAATTGAGCATTAAGGCCTGCAGTCTGAACGTAGCCTAACAGTTGTGTTTGTGTTAACATGATGTGCACAGCATCTCTGTTTGGCAGCTGGGATCTGCATCAACCACGTGTTGTTTGTCTCCTCAGGTGTAATGTGTGTGGGAAGGAGTTCTTTGAGAAAGCTCTGTTCAGGAGGCACGTGAAGAAAGCCACGCACGGGAAGAAGGGTCGAGTGAAGCAGAACCTGGAGAGGGAGTGTGAGCAGTGTGGAAGAAAGTTCACTCAGCTCCGAGAGTACAGACGCCATGTCAACAACCACCAGGGTAAAAGCTTGTGCAGACTACACAACTGCCGATGGCCCGTGCTGTTCACACTACACAAACCACGTTTTTTTCAAGAAAACACACATGAAATATGAAATGGGGAAATGACGTGAAACTACACACAAAACAGCTGTTTGTTATTATAAAGCAGGTTTTTTCCTGCAAAGAGAAATTTTTGGCGCTCGCCAAAATGATCAGAATTGAAGCTTTTCAAATATTCCTAACTCCTAATGTGTTTTAATAGCCATTAATCAAACTTCTCTGTCCTCTCCGTATCAGGTTCACTAGGCACTACTACCTGTTGCGTTCTCTCCTGACTGCTAATCTCCGCAGGGAGATCGGGTTCCGTTCCTGCAGCTATGTGCATAGCTGTTTGTAAAAGTTACTTTTCGTGAACCGACCAATCACAGCCAGGAGGAGGTGGGACATTAAAAAAGGCTGAGTCACTACATCAAACTTTAGAAATGTTGAACTTGTTGTTCTGTATGCACGGTTTTTATTATTGACGAGTTGGTGCTTTGCATAAACAAATGAGAGACTAACCACCTTGTAGAGCATTTTTCTTGTGCAATAATTAAATGACTGAAAACAACCCACAAAATGTAACTTCTGTTTTGTCCAACTAGCATTAATATTAGGCTGCTAATGGTAAGCTATAGTAGCCTGTACCATTATCTGAAATTATAATGAATACACAAACATTAGCACAAATCAAACCTTAACCACAGTGGTGCAGGCTAATATCACAGAAGGGTTTGATTTGTGAAAAAAGCTGAATCTCAACTAATAAACTATCTGTAGACAAATTATCCAAATCAAGTGTAAACTGTAAATATATTACATATTTATATTATACTAACAATTATACTTGACTTTTATTACCTTTACTCCTCCAGGTTGCGGATATATTTTGTTTATCAAATGGTCAGAAATAACAAAATGTATAGATTTTGGTCATAAGGTAACTCATTGCCTTTACTGTACGCATACTGATCATGCTTACTGTCACGTGAAGTCACCCCCCAAAGGCCCCTTCTGAGCCAGGAAAAACCCTGTGGAGATACCAGTTATAAAGACAAAGAATCTGGATGAAAGGATGGATCAGCACACGCAGGTAGCAGGGATCATCTGAGCTACAGAGAGAGCTGGAGGGGAGTAAAAAGTGTTTTGCAGTGAAAAGAAAAGGTATCTGCCTGCTCTCATTGGCTGGATGTGGATGTCGAGTCGGCCTCCAGATATTTGGCACGCTAGATATCTGGCCAGCGTCTGCAATGTGTCGGGGAGCAGTTTTGATGCGTCGTTGAGTAGCTCACACATAACGACTGGCGACCGCCGATCGATTGCTGATTTACCGCTGATCACAGCCTGACGGTCGCCGAGCTCACCGACCGGCAAATCGGGCATAAAATCGTGTAGTGTGAACTAGGCTTAAGAGTCTGAATCCTGGTGCAGTGCTGTGTTTGTGGAAGTTCATTTATATGATTTTTTTCTCTCCCCACCCCTTCTCTTCCAGGAGTGAAACCTTTTGAATGTCTGACTTGTGGTGTTGCCTGGGCCGACGCTCGTTCTCTCAAGCGTCACGTCCGCACGCACACAGGAGAGCGACCGTACGTATGCCCCATGTGCCAGGAGGCCCACATTGATGCACGCACTCTGCGCAAACACATGGCCCGGTACCACGTGGACAACCTTCCCGGGAAGATCATGCTGGAGAAGGACACCCTCCAGTTCCACAACCAGGGCACCCAGGTGGAGCACGCAGTCAGCATCCTGGCGTCCGAGCTGCCTCCTGAGCTCCGGCCGGCCCAGCAGCCGCCCTCAGAGGAGATAGAGACGGTGCTGATCACAGAGGAGACGGTGGAGGCCATGCAGGCTGTTGAGGCTGCTGAGGCCGCTGGCGACGGCTCTGTGGCGACGCTCTCCGATCAGGGCATCATGCAGGTCGTGAACTACGTCCTGGCCCAGCAGGCCCTCACAGGGGGCAAGCTCGAGGAAACACCTGAGGTGCTTCAGACCATGGAGGTGGAGGTCGCTCACGTGGCCGAGGTCGAGTAACTCAGTGCCAGACGACAGGATTCCCACACAGACTTATCACATTGTTCCTCAGTCTGTATAAAATGTACCAGAATGTAAAAAGTGGACTATTTTTTAGAGAATGTAAATACCGCAAATGGACCATGAGTGGAGCGTTCGCTGTCTGTTCAGCCCAGAACTGTGTTGTATGAATTGTGCACACACGTTCACATTTCTCTGTTGTATGTAAATAGCTTGATTTACGGTAACAACATTAATTGATGAGTTACAAATTTGACACTCAGGAGAAATAAAGGTAGAAGTGAATACAGCACTTCACTTCTTCACCTTATTGCTTTTGTTGCTGACAGAAAAGCTGTGAGATTTCTCTGTAGCACACTTTTGCTACTCCAGTCATCCTGGCTGTGGGTTTTCCCCCCTAGTGTCAGCTTGAAGGATGAGAAAATGAATAAATGTCTCCATTTGTTGGTCATCTCACCGTCATCGCCATAGTTGCATGCTTGTAGGAACATATTCCTTTTCACTCAAAGGTACTTTAGAAGTTGCAATGCCAACTACTTTAAATTATGAGCAGGTCAACATTTAGACGACTTCAGTAGGAATGTAATACATTTGAGATTGAGTTCAACCTTCCAATCAAAATCAAATCTACTTTCATACACATACAATGTTCAGTAATGTCTAATAAAATGCAGTGTTTAACTGTAAAAAGGAGTTCGTATTTCAGTGAAGCCACTTAAAATAATTTGACACAAAGGAGTATTAACATGCAATACAGCAAGTATGGATATTTATTTCAGATTTATATCAAAATACCCACAGTATATTGCAACATATTTACAATACATACAATACAAAAAATATGAAAATGCAGATGGTGTCTGCTTCTAACAATGCTGGCTACTTGAAACAACGTTGAACATGGGCTAGTGTAGGCTACACGCATACTGTGTGCACGCTTTTGAATGAATACAGACATTGTTCTTATTATTCTATTCACATCAGTATGCTTTGTTCCATGATGATGAAATAATGCATTTTCTTTAGGGAGACTTTCAAGATGAGAACTATACAAATTTATATACATTTAAATCATAGGTTTTGGCCAGTTATCAAATGAAATAAACCTCTACCAAAACATGGTTCATGAGTAGAAAAAATACTTGTACTAGGCATCCACTGCAAGAGTAAAAGCCCGCTCTTAAAATGCAATCACAACCACTTGCGCACAGCAGTAAGACAAGAACAACAAACAAAACGACATCAGTCATCATATTATTTTACTGTAAAACACAGGGTCAAGAGCATTAGGCCTATATATGGCTACATCAAATGAATGACCATCTGTCACTTAAACACGCATACTTCACAAGCTGACACATAAGGGCAATGTATTGGTCTCAAAACAGACATGAAGCAAAATATAGAAGTACAGCAGAAAAACTAATTGCCCATCAATTGACATAATACTTCTGACAGGAAATGTTTGAAATGTATACAATCAATGCTTACTTCTGCCACAGACGAAAACCAGTGTACTCGACTAACTTGTACAACCACAATGGTGAAAACTTAGAAGTCTATTACAAATTGAAATACACTTTTGCTATGGCCCATAGCAGAAATATAAGCCCTAATAAGCCCTCTAATGCAAGCTTTGTTTCCAGTCATGCTTTAACATGGGAATGAATCATGAACACTTAAAAACTCAAAGCATTCTAGAAATCCTCAGCATTTCTTAAGTGCTCTCAAGAAATTACAACATAATAAAATGCACCGTTTATTTCTCCTCAGTGATAAGAACCAGAACAATGAAAATAAGTGCATTTCTATTTGAATATGTAGTTTGTTCTCAGCAGTATTTGCACTAATACCAGGTTTTCAAATGAAATGTTCCAACTGAAGGCGTGAAATGAGAAATGGGAACATTGAGAAGGAGACGGGTCGTCTCACTCTCCCTCCTCCTTGATGCGCTGCTGTTTGTTGCGGCGAGAATCCAGGTCGAAGGAGAAGTCGGACCACTCATCGCGCGGTGGGAAGGAGATGGTCTGGCGTAGGGTGAAGCGCACAGCGTCAATGACGCGTTCTCCTCGGGCCTCTGAGGAGCCCACGCTGACGGTGGAGGCCCCGCTGGTGGTGCGCACTATGTGGGGAGGTGGGGAAAAATCCATGGCCTGACGGTGTTCCATGATGCCCTTCCAGATGATGTGCTGGTACTCCGCAGGGATCTTCAGCCTGGACAGGTCCTAATGGTCATTACACAGGGGAGCGTTAGTATTCGCAGGGGGAGCCACTCTTCTCTCTAACCCATCAAATGATTGGTGTGGGATAGGCAAGGGCTCACCTCCATGTTATAGTTCTCAATCTGGTAGATGTTGGTTAGGCCTTGTGCTGTGAAGTAGTCCAAGCAGCCTGTGCAGCCCAGCCGTATAAGGAAGCTGTGGGAGGAACAGAGGAGGAGAGTTTCAAACTGTTGTCCCCTATTTAAATGTTCATGTAGTTGATTTGACAAAACATACTGGCTCTGGGTATCTGTGGTTATCAGGAGGCTTTGCAAGGCCTGCTTTAATACTGATTTAATCAAAAGTTCAGACTCAAGTCATCCAATCTGTCCTCTGCTTAATATGCTGAACATTACAAAGTGAATTCATTAAAAAAAGTTATGGGGATCAAGGTTGGTTGGTGGCACATGATGACTGCGGTGAGAAGAAAATGAACCCCTCAAAATGACTTGTTTAAATGTATTTGAGACACAATTTCTTTTATACCTTTTTTCCTGGCATTTCAAGGCTTGAAAATTTCTGAATTTGAACACTTGTGTTCTCTCAGTGCTTTTTATTTATGGTTGCTGAGCAACGTTGAGATCAGATATACATCAAAACAGCACTAACAAACATCACATTATTTATACTAAAGACGCTTTTCAGGCCCCTGTGTATATGTATATAAGGTGATGTTTGTAATGTTTTGTGCCAGATGCAGACCTGATTGAAATGTTGCACAAACGTCGTTGTGGGATTAAAGATCCATGTGCCGATTCTACGTTTTGCCTCCTGTTTGGTCCAGCACCTACTGTGGAGATGTTTAGGAGGTGCATACTTGTGAAGCTAAATACACTCTAACTTCCCGGGGCGAGGCAAAAGGAGACGGGGCCCTTGCACTCAGGGCTCCTTGAACAACCTCTCAGAGGAGATCGGGCAAGCTAGCTCTGATTTGCATTCGTTGTTTTAGTTTCAAGAGTTACTTGAACCTTTTTTTCAATCGTGTTGTTTTTGAGAAGTGCGATAAATGAAGCTATTATTACTTTTATAAATTTCAAAATGAACTCAGGAAAGGAAAAGATGTCGATGTGTTCCACTGTGGATTGATGAGGTACCTGGAGATGCTGCTGTCCATTGGGTATGGAGGAGGGGGAGTACAGTGGGAGGAAGGCACCAAGGGTAGCTGTGGCTGCAGTGCGTGTGTGGGGCTCAGTGGGCTCATGTCAGCGTTCATGGGGATGTGAGTGCCCATCAAAGGAGTCACTGCAGAGACAAAAGAAGAAGCTACTGTGAGCTTTACTGCACTGCTCTGGGATGTACAGATTACGTAACGTCAACTGAAACACACGGGGGGTGCATGCAGAGGTTACTCTCAACATGACACATAATGCATCACAACAGGTCCTGCAGAAGAGTCTCACAGGGATCACATTCTTTTTGGGGGGGGGGGGGGGCTGAGAGGTGTTCAGGTCCCCTCCTGCCTGCCCGGACATGCTGTCTTTATAAGTTTAAAATAAGCCCAGGAGGGACAGGACAACGAGTGGGGGCGTAGGAGGGCGGTGGGGGGTGGGAGGCGACTACGGCCTGAGATAGACGGGAAGAGAAAAACAAAGGGGCACACTTACTGTCAGTCAGGCCTCCAGACATGCTGGATGGGGTGAGTGTGTTACGCTGCTGGGGGTTCATGAGCTGGCTGACAGAGGGCAGCTTGTTGACTTTTCCGTGAGTAGGGGAGCAGGAGCCGTAGGAGGGCTGAGACGGCATTGAAGTCCTGGAAAGAGGAGGTTATAATCAGCGTTCAGCAGCGCTCACAGTTCATGACTAAGGCCTGGTCAGTATTGTCCTTTCATGGAAACAATAATGACAACATGAACAAGTTTATTACTCTGATTAAACGTAGCATTTCATATTTCATATTACAGTGACTAAATGTAACTTTTGGGCCCACAGGGAGGGCCACATGTTTCAATAATAAAACAGAGCAGTAAATGCAAAAGGACAGCAACAAGTTCAAGCAACAACAAAAAAAAGCCATTTATTATGTTCTGACAGACAAAAGTGCAGCAGCAACCAAAACCAAACTGTTTCAAACAGACTGGTCACAGAACAAATGTTCACATCTGCACTTTCCTCTGTTCAAAGACATTTCTTTGAGGAAAGTTGAAAACAAAACACGCAAACTGTCCTGCAGTGACTTTATAAAACATGACCAGCATTAGCAAAAAAAAGTTCTCTCAATAATAAAGTCTCTCCCCCGCCCCCAAAACCCAAAAGATAGATTTTGTGAGTCCAGCTCTCATGACGACGCGGAGGCAATAAACACAAAACAAGTCAAGGATAGAGAAAAAGACAGTTAAGCTTGGTTCCTGTCCAACTTCAGCCATCACGAAAGGCTGAATGGGATGAACGTTTCACAAACTATGCAACAGATAAATACTGTTACATTAATCAGGGATGACCTGAACAAAGTGAGGATCATCCCAATATAAAACATCCTTTTCATGGACAAAAATAACGCATGCAAATCATTCTACAAATTATAATCTATGAATTTCAACGGCCACTTCAGTAGAGCCAGTAGGATAAACGAAGCGTGTGTCCAGCATGTAGTGCTACAGCCTACATGTCGTGTTACTGCAGATAACGGCTGAATAAAATGTGATATTCCATGATCTTGCAACAGATCTTAAAAACACAAAGTTTCAGTGTGACATCCTCAGTGCAGAATCCCAGGAAAGGCAGAAAGGGGGGAGATGAGGAAAATCAAAGTTGATAAAAAGGAGACAGAGAGGAGGTCCGTGTAACTCGGGATGAGGAGGAGGAGGAGGAATGTGGGGCAGAGTTTCAGGAGGAGCTGCAGCGCCGCCTCTGCTCTCCCGCAGGCTCCACGAGCTGGCTACCAAGGCGGGTTTTTATCAGACTGCAGGGAGGAACCAGAAAGAAAAGAGAGAGCAGAAATAAGGGCTCACTGACAGAGGAGGAGAGGAGTGACCCCAGAGAGGCCCAGAGGTTCAGAAAAGTTCAAAATGAAGAAGAGATACACAAAAAGAACTGCTTAAAGTGTGTGTGTGTGACGGAGGGCTGTAACTTTATCACAACATCAAACTTCTGCACTAATGACACTGTCCAGAAGATGGCAGTCTACAAACACAGATCACAGGTGTGTGTGGACTGCTATTTCTTAGTATTTACACAGTGGAGAAGAAAAAAAGGCCTGAAACATTTGCTGTGGACAGAACCTTTTATTTCAAAGGCTGCGAGGGAAACATTGTAGGAGGTGTAAATTACACAAGACAGTAACGAGGATTGTAGGAATATACACAGAAAGCTAAGAGAAACACGCATGATAACCAAAATAAAGAAGGGCAAATACACCAACACATTTTCCCTTCTAATATTCAGATTTTAAATAAATTATGAATATAGAACCTAATATGTTCAGCAAATCCACAAAAAGCTGAGTGCATCTTGGCTTTGTTCAATGTCTGTCTGATCACGCATTTACCAATATTTTATGGCCTGACAGCAACAGGTAGTCAGCAACAAACAAAAGTAAAGTAAAACCCAGCAAATGCACGCATTATCTCACTGTGAGGCTGTCTGCAAGTCTCTTAATGGGAAACTATAACATAAGCAATAATTAACATCAGAGGGCTGTCAAACTATCATTTACACCCATCTCCCTCTTTTCTATAGCTTCTACTGAAATGGGCGTGGACGAGGAAAAGTGTGTGAGAACATGTGTGTCGGAGACAGTTTTAATTATGCTCAGGTGGATAGATGAGGCCGAGGCACGGATTTTGTTGGGTGCTGTTGTGCAAACCTGGCAAAGCACCCAAAGGCGTTACCATGAATCTTTGGAAGCTTCTCCTTCACAAAGCATAGCCAGGTACATTTGTCACGATTCATCAGCTTTGGCTCATGTCCCATGAGAGAGGAAGAAAAAAAAAACTGCTTTACTAATGCAAGGCTCACCCTCCAAGCTGCCAGCGTTGAGCAAGTTCTAGGTAAACTCTCCGCTGCTGGGAAACACTGAATACTACCCATTTTTGAGCAATTATTATCAGCTTTGACTCGATAGCTGCGATGCTTCAGCAGCAGCAATAAATAGAATCACAAAATCTCATGCATAGCCTTTATCAGTGCAATCCACTTTTCCAGAAACAAGTCAGTCGTGTTAAGTCAGTTAAATCACTGCAGTCTATTCAAAACCAAAAACAAAAACAAAGCTCTGTTCAAGCAAACGAGCAATCCGTAAGAAGGAGGAAAGGGTGTGTAGCTAAAAAAAACAGCACAAGGAAAACTAGAATTGGAGGGTGAACCTTGCAAGGACCGCAGGTCTGTCTCTCATAATGAGCCCGAGAACAAATGAGCATTCCTCTATTATGAATCTGAACAGGTACTCACTGTTTCTGAAGGAGATTCTGCTGCTGCTGCCTGTACGACTCTATAGTGTGCTGCGGCAGAAACTGCATGAGTTCCAGAGACTCTTTGATTTTTACCAAAATCTCATAAATTTCACGGCCTTTGATCTGTAAGGAAAAAAGAAATACAATGGTCAGTAAGCAGCTCGGATGCACTCCTCATAAAGTTTTAACGCAATTTCGCTGAAAGTAAAACTTACAGGCAAACAAAAAACCTCCTCGTCTGTAGATCTTCTCTTCTTGATGGTGGACATCTGTATGCCATGGGAGACCTGGCGGAAGGCTGAAAAGAGGACAGTCAAGTGTGAGTTTACCACTGGCCATGTGCTGAACAGTTCGCCTAAGCCAGAGAAGGAGAGGAAACAAGCGAGTGAAAGAAGGTGGCGGAGTTTAGCAGCCTTCACAAAGTGTGTTAGCGAGTGCAGCGGCTGAGGGTCCTGGACCCCGGCAGCACGTCAGGTAAGACCAAAGCTTGTTAGCCCGTCACCAGCCCCGGCCCTACTTACGGCGCTTCATACCGTCATTGCCCTTTGTGGCGTCCGTTACGTGCTGCTTGCGGATGCTGTCCTCGTCTGCCTTCCTGTCTCGGCCCGGGCAGGCGCAGATCCTGGCCTCGAAGCACCGGCGGCCTAATACCTGACCACTGGGAGAAGACAGGGACACAGCGGGTCAGAAACAATCCACAGCTGAACTGGAGGCCTGACAGGCGAACACTGAGGATGACAACGACTGTCTCTCTTACTCTCTGGTTTCCAGAGTGACGATGATAAGAATTGGGCGTCTGTTCATTCCGCCCACGCAGCTCGAGTTGCACATGAAGTTGTACAAAATAGTGGTAAACTCTGTCCCCACCTGAGAAAGGAGAAGGACACCGACGGTGAGTGACATCACTGGGTGACAGAAAGACACAAACAAAAGAAATGATTTCTTCTTGAAATGAGGTTAAAACAGGAAACTGGAGGCTGCATTTGCATGCACAGACACAACCTGGTCAATGTAAAACCTGCAAACACTAGAAGAATTCTCTGCACCCACTTCACTATTGTTGAAATGAGGGTTGAATTTTCACATATTGTTGAATTTTCATTATCTATTTCAGTTTCAGCTTTAAAATCCCTTTGGGTTGAATGATGGGAGACACATTCCTCCACACTGCTGTGAATGTCATGAGGGACACATGTCAAAGCTCTACTAGAAACATGGCCAAGAAACCAGGTTCCCCTGCAGACCTCTGACTGTAGAAAGTTATTGTTATTTACAAATTTGTTTTTTATTTTTTTAATGGGTGAGTTTTTCTTTCATCACACATATTTAAAATATCCAAAGACTAATGATTTCAGCCAAGGACAACTCAAGATTTTGCCTACCTAAAATCCAAAACCAATTATAGACAAATAGAATTATCATTAGTGAGTGTAAAACAGATTCATCGCTCTGATTCATGTGTGTGTGCTTATTAATTTAATCATGTTCTTCTCACCTCATTCCTGATAGAATTAAAAAGTTATAGGCTAAAAAGGATGAAACCATATTTGTAACTACAAGCGATGCTTCCTTTCTAAAGAATAGCTGAAGCTCTAAAGGAGGTGCTTGACCTAGCTCATGCGACATGCTTTTAAATTACCTATCATAACTTGCAATATGAACCCACATGGGTTTAAAATGGCAGAATAAAAAAAACTGTTTCCTTCTGAGGCCTGCACTGCGATGAACTAGTGTTGATACTGAGGGGCTTCAGGGGACAGCAGTTGCTGCGTGTCAGGACTGAGTGGCTGGACATGAGAGCCCAGGCTCTCAGAAGTCTGTCACTGCTCTGTCAGAGTCAGGCTGAGGTGGTGAGGCGTCGCTGACAGGGCATTCAGCCGGCCTCGCTCCACGATGACGGACAGCTCACCTGGGGAGGTTCGTAAGGAACTAACACGCTCTGCCTTCCAGTGATGGTGTCCTCCACGTACTGGGCGTGGTTGTTACCCTCCACACGGATCAGATGGCTCGGTGGAGCTATCTGACCTGGAAGCAACACGAGTGGTGTCATTAAATGGCGACAGCAAAGAATGATTACTGAAGTAAAACATGGGAGACAGTTTGCTGTTTAATAAATCAAAAGGACTGACCGTCGTTGAACTCGCGGCTCAGCTCGTGGTTCGGGCAGCGTTTCACCACTTCGGTCACATGTTCGGCTTTCTTGTAAACAGGCATGGCTCTGATGACAGCGCCCTGTGGTGGGGTGGTCAGGACTTTGATCTGGATGGGACATGTCTTGGCAATTTGGCAGTATAACTTCTTGAGTTCTGTTGAGTACTGGAAGTGAGAAAAAACAAGACAAAAGAGCAAAAAGATTTATAAAACTGTGCAGATAAATATTTGCTAAGAAACATTCATAAGCAAACCGTTTTGAGTCTTCAAACTATTTTTGCCTAAATTTTAAAAGCCCAGATTGAACTCTGTAACACCTGTTGTCTGGACTGTGGACTTCTGGTTTCCCCTGAAGCAAAAAGGGTTAAAGACAACACTGTGATTATGACCTACTTAAATAAACACACACACAAGTTTTGGTGCTAGAAGTGTGTATTGGGCAACCTCAAAGATGTCTCACAGAGAGCCTCTGGGACTTCCGAAGAGCGCCATAAAATGGACCCCTCCAGCAGCAATTAAAGTGGGCCTGGCTTTCATCTTCAAGGGAGGAGTATTCTGCTAAAGCATCTGATGGCCACTCATCATACAGAACAGGGCTTCTAAAGAGGCTGGCAAGCCAACGCTACGCAAGGTTGGGTGCAGTTTTCCTCGTGGGTTTGGATGAAAATGACTCAGTTTGAGCTCTGAGTACAGGATTGAAGGAGTCATCACAGCAGTTACAGAAGATCCATCTGGTGCCAAAATGTGATGGTTGCTCACACAAACTGGCCCACTTTCAAGTTTGTAAGCCAGGAGTCATGAATAATGGATGTACCTTGATCCCTGGCACTGTTAGAATTGATAACCAGTAAGCCATCAGAAAGACTGAATTGTTACTAATAGGCATAACCCAACTGTGTAAACAAACCATTCAAATCACTGCTGTGTAAGCACAGCTTTAAATCCTCTCTGTGAGGGAGACATTGGGTGGGGGTGGAGGGCAATATTTCCCTGTCAGATTCATTTCTGAGAGAAGAAAAAAAGTGAACATTGTGGAAACCGCTTGGGGCTGTGTTCGAGAACAATGCAACATAAAATTCCACCTTTATTAAGTGTGGTTTTCCAAAGAAAAAGGAGCTCATCCCAGTACCCGTCTCTGCTGACTTTAAATATTACACAAGCTTGGCACGGACATTTTCTACTCTGCTCCCCAGGCACAACCTTTCCTTTCATCAGGACAAACCCAAAACAGTACCTCGCTTTCCCAACGGCACACATCACTGCTGTGCACGTCACCCCGAGACGGGATCCACTAATAAAGGCGAGTTAATGTTAACCCAAATTCTCAGCTTTCCTCAAGTGACCTTATTACCAACTGCTACATAGACTTAATATTTAATGTTAAGGTTATAAAAATAAAATCAGTGCCACATGTTCTGATCTGTTAACATGATATAGTGACTGATGAGAACAATTCAAGCTCTGGGACATGTATGTCAACACAATGACTGAACTGACTCTTCCTTAAAATCAAAGCAGCTTTCCATGAAGGTTGTCTTCTTACAAAACAAAAAAAGCCTAAGATGAATGGTTGTAGTTGTCCCCTTGCTCCTAACCTGATACTCCCCGTACGCCTCTGTCAATCAGCTAAATGAGGTGGAGAAGCCAAGCACAGGGACGGGGGAAAGAGCAAAAGAGAAAGAGAGAGAGATTATGAGGTGAAGAGAAAGAGAGATGTGCTGTGTGGAGGGTCAGTATGTAGTGTTTTGAATAATTAGAGGGTGCTAGTTTTGTGTAGCTCAAGGCAAAAACAGCACAACTCAGAGCACTAAGATCTAGTCAAAGACGTCAGAGGCAGAAAACCAAAGTTTGTTTAGATCATATCCTACTGTCTCAAACTTCCACACACACACACACACACACACAGAGACACACACACACACACACACACACACACACACACACACACACGCCAGAGAACCATCCCAGCCCTGAAGCTACAAACTTTAAGCACACAACTATTTGCTGCCGGTGCTGTGTTTGCTCAGCAGTGAGAGCAGGAGCTGCTGCTGATTGCTGAAAGCAGCGCGCGGCTAAAGCTAACACTGTTGAGGGTGGAGGACAGCCGGTTGACTGATGGGATTCACACAGGGTGCGGTGCTCAGGTGTTAACATGTAATTATGAGCCTTTCATTGGTCACAATGTGTAGCCAAGGAACCCACAGCACACAATACAGAGCTGCTTAATCACAATCATTCAAAAAGAAAATGTCTCTGAGTGTTTGCAAGAACCACACGTGACACATTACTTTCAACATGTGGCAGTGAGGCTGAAAAAAATGATAAATGCCCCGAAGTGGCTGTATTTACAAACAAAACCTCTGACTGCTGCTGTAAAACTCTACCAGACAAAAAAAAGACACTCACTGCCCTGTTTGCAGCTTGTTAGCTGGAGTAATAATGAAAATATGCTCTTATATTAATCTAAATGCTTGCTACATACAATTTGTTCCAGTGTATGTGCAGCATGTGTGAATTTAGTTTCTAACACACACACACACACACACACACACATCCCGTGCAGCACAGGTTGAGGCAGGCCCACAGCTGTAGTGTTCTTTTCTCCCTGACAGGCGCTGCGGGCGCATGCAGAAGTCAAGTCCTGACAAACATCAGGCCTTAAACAAGCACTGTTTGGCGCCTCTGGTCTTGTCTTCTTCATACCTGACAAGTCATGTCATGCCTAAAGCTTCTCCCAAAACCTGTTTAATTCAATAATGCAAAGGAGTATTTTTTTCTACTCTGAAACAGAAAGAAACACGCACTTGGAAGAGAAGTCATATGTGGTAAAATGGTATATAATTATTAAAATCATTACCTTTCTCTATACTTCAACACATACACACACACAATGTGATGATACCTGTCCCCGAGGCAAACCTGTACACTGACATGTGGCATCATGTTTATGTAGCCACTGCTGAAAGAGTCCAATACGTATCTGTCACTGTTGGGATTAGCCAATCGAACCTCTGTCTTCACCAGCAGTCTACATGATTGTAACTACTAGGGAGTTCACTGCAGTTGAAACCGAAAATAAAAACCAACAGGTGGGGAGATATGAACAAGAAAATCCTGATTTTTTTCCCCGTTCTTTTCACATGCTGAGTAGCTAAAGTCAGTTAAGTAGAATTATAGTGTCTTCTATTCACAAAAAAGGAAAACATTTTTTAATCACAATTGATGTACTTATCCTTCAAGGAAGTATTATGTTAATGGGTGTGTTGTTGTAAAAACACAACAATGGTTTCTGTGTTTGGTTAGTTTCTGATGACAGACTAATGTATTTTTTGTATTTATGTAACTACAGCAAGTTTTCTGTTGAGGTACATTGCTGCTGCAGGGTTGTTTGTTAGAGGTAAAAAACCAAACAATCTTGTAATCTAAACTGTAAGAGAATGTGCTTTTCCAAACCGATTACGAAGAAATCCCATGGCCCATATCATAAAAACCTTTTCAACTCTTCCCTTTTTAAAAATTTCCCCTCTACCTTTTCCCATCTGTAGCATTTAGGGCTTGTCTCCCTGTGATGGGCGAGTCGTGACAAGCTTCTTGACACAAACAAGTCTCAGCCCCATCTCGTGAGGCGTGGGACGGGCCCGCAGATGTTCCAGGGGCAAGCTGTGTCTTGCTGCCTTTCGCTAGAACACTCTTCTCTTTGAGCATTCAAGGGCTCTCCTCCTCCTCCTCCTCCTCCGGCGCAATGTGAGATGCAACCATCAAGCTAAATTCTCTCAAAAAAGACAGAGCCCACTCCAAGAGCACAGGGTTCAGGGAAGAGGCACACGGTATTTACACAAGTATTATCTACAGGCCCTCAATCCATTACTGTAATCCCCCTAGCTCTGCAGCGTCCCAGTGATAGCCCAAACCATGACATTCCTCTCCTTTGACAACTATATGTGGTGGCAGTTAATACACATGGCAAACACAACCAATCTTCAGCCCCACAATAGCTGCATAAGTAGCCAACAATGGCCGCCCCATTTGCAACACTCCATTAATTTAGGAAAGCAAAGAAGATAAAACATCTCCAACCCATGTATTCATTTGACCTGGCCAAGTGTGTTTTTTCTATCTAAGAGATAAAAGAGGAAGCACCATGGAGACTGCAGGAGTGCCAACAAGGAAACTATGTGGGAGCAGTTCTGGGAAATGTTGACGCGTTGCTCCTCTGTGTGTGTGTGTGTGTCTGTCACAGTCATCCTAGACAGGAAGAGGTTAAGGTGTGGGTTGGGGATTAGGTGTGTCTCCATAAGAACAGTCATCAAAAAGCACATTACACAGTCCACTAAGTCCTGTGGAAGATCTCGCAGGCCTTCAAAAGGGTGCATTAGCAGATCTATGCACAGAGAAAAGCTGTGGTGGTGACATCTTCAGTGGCTCTCTGCCATCAGTCCATCAGTCCACCAGTTGAGCTATTGGGTTGAGATTATAGCAGCTTTGCGAAAGCTCTCCTGAGATCAGGTGAGGGAGGCTCCTTCACGATGGGAACCAACACTATAATCATAATTCCACGGGGGGGAAATGACCCTCTCTATGAGCCATTGTGGAAAATCAGCCACAGCACAACAAAGTAATGTTCAGTGAGGCATAAGTGTGACATGTACTCTTAGGTGGGATTAAGTGACTGCATTTTGCAGCTACAAAAGATGTCTTTAGTGAATGATGCACTGACGTTTAACCTGGTAATTGATCTTTTTTTACAGTTTAGATGAACTTCTGTGAACATAATGGAAAGATATAAACTACAAAACAAAAGGTCAGAAAGGTGAAATCACTAACAGCCTTTCTGCTCATCCACTAACTCAGTGGAATACCCTTATAATACCTTTTCAGAAAAGTGCCACTTTATTCATCATAGTTCACAGATTTATTTTACTGTAGTATTTTTAGCTCTCATTGTTGTCTTCCAAGTTGCCACTGGGACAATAAAACTGACATCCATTTGATCACACCAGTATTACCAGACTTTACATAGAAAAAATGTAAGTATATAAAATCTCTTCCTCTTGTTAGCCTTGTTTATTTTTGGGTAATTATTACTTGAATGAGTCAATATAAAGTTTAGCCATCGGGGGAAAGACACTTTGCTCAGTACAGCGATAATAATAAGCAACAATTCACTACTCTTCCATGTTAAGTCAGACCAATCAAACCAGTCTTGCATCATGTGTTATGACTGTGGGACACATAGTCTGTTGCACTACATGTGTCTATGACGGGGATGTGTCCTAAACCAGTGTGGCTCAGGCTATGGGGCGTGCCTTTCATAAACCACACTCTTATCCTACTCACAGTTGCACACCAGACAAACACTTTTGTTTTTGGACTGTGAAAATGAGAGGGATGAGTGATGCAGTGTGGGAATTGGGTAAATGTCACAGTCCCACACTTGGCGGGCCAAAGAATAAGGTGAGATCGCCCAGCACGCCCTGAGTTCAGCCCCTTTACTTGGAAGGCGCAGCAGGTTTTTCAACAGTCATTTTGGACCCATTTGTTATTAATTAACTAACGAGACCTGTTAATGACCATTTCCATGTCTCATTCAACGTTGCATTTACAAATACTGCATTGTAATGTATTATGTAAATCAGCAACATGTCACACATAGACAGCCACTTAAGTGTGAAATCTTGATAATCAGGACCCTCCAAATCTAAATGTATCTAAAAATTAAAAAAAGTCCACATACAAGGACAAACATTCGTCTGACGGTGACATCTCTGTCACCTATGGTGTCCGCTAGGGTGCATCAATGCACTGAACCTGCGGGGCTGTTACAGCATCCATGCACAACAGTGCACATTAGACACGTAAACAAGCGAGCAGGTGGGGCTCTGATGCAACAGCTGTCCCTCAGCCCTGTCATGTATAATGACAGACCAGGAGGAGCTGGTTGTGTAGGTTTATCGAGCATCACATGGTGACATCTAGCTGCAAAGGGCATCACCACACCCGGACCAACTGCTGAGACTGTTTACCTCTGTTAATGTCCATGCACATTATTTATTTATATGATGATTTGACGTTTGAAGGCTAAAACTTTGTTGGAGGTGAATGTCTCTTATAGTGACAGACTATGTGGTGAGACCATGCTCTTCAGCATTTGTTTTTTCATCATGTGAATATAATAATATATACATAATGTGTGAGCCTTAACGAAATGCCTTGGGATTAGTCATGATTTGAAGCTGTAAATCTTTCCTGCCAGATGTAGCTGTGAAACGCAGGACTTACAAATAATGTGCACCTAAATCAGCCTGGAGCAGAGATTGTCAGAAAAGGCGTAAGAACGGTTAGAAGTAGCTCCATGACCTCTACTCTGACATGTTATGATGACAGCTAGTGCATAAAAGTGTCGCTGTGGGTCCATATGTTTTATGAAAAGCATACGGCTGCATATAAAACTCTAGCAAACTACATGAAAAACTAATATATTTCAAAGAGGGCTGGACAATAAAACAATAACAATAATTATCGCAATATAATTTTTTTCAATAACAATATAATAAATATTCAATAAATGTTTGATATTATTCACTTGAATCATACATGAATTAGGACTTAATTTTTTAATAAGATTTTGTTGAGGAACAAGGAGTGAAAAAAGCTTTTATTTAATTTTACCCATGCATATTTGTTGACAAAGTTTTTATCATAAATGTTTTGTATGTTCTACCTCAGATTTGTGAAGTGATCCATTGTTTGGCCTCAAGTGTTGACCATAAAGAGTTTAAACCACAATAACGATTTGATACTTGTGACAAATATCAATATCGAAAGATATGAAACTTTTTATCGTGGTAACATTTTTTTCAATATCGTCCAGCCCTAATTTCAAACATCCAGTCTGTATGCCAAAGAATATTTTGGTTCATCACCCAGATGTCATAGAATAAAGAAAACAGTTCTGCTCATTACACCAGCAGACATACATACCTTTGAAGGTCCACTCAGAGCATATTGTGATTGACAACTTACCTTGTCTGTCTGAAATTACCCTAGTTTTTTTTTAATATGTAAATCTTGGTTGGACATTTTACGCTTATCTTGTCATCTAACTCTCAGTAAGTGAATACAAATAAATGTATGCGATGGTCTATACCTTTAAAAAGTGTTCACTCTTAACTATCCAATACAGTAAGTAGATCTCCACGCACGTCAGAGTATGTGAAGAAAACCCTGGGAACATATTTCAGCTTTTCAGGAACCAGTGAAAAATGCACTCTATCAATCACCCCCCAAAGATGCTAGTGCTACAAAGGCTAGCTAGGAGAGAGACGGGACTTTGGCTCTCTATACATAATGGCAATAGAGGGTATGCGTTGATGTCACTTTCCCTTCCGGAACATGCTGGACTGAGTGGCAAAACATCTGTTACCATGGCTGCGTTTAGCAAACTGGGAGTAAAACAAGTGATTATTTGCTCAAATTAAAGGCAGTCGGACTCAACATTGACCCTTACTGTTTACCAAAGAACCAGTGGTCCAGCTCTTTCCCATTTTAGATGTGTTGTTTGTGTTTTTGCTTATTTATTCTAACACTGCTGCTCGCCTTTCTTCCACTCAGTGAGCGTAACGGCGTTCTGTGACTTCATGTGCATACCCTCTATGTAAGTTTTTATTGCCAAATGCTGCTTGACGATGAGCTACAATTACTATAAGCAGAGTGCACAAACTAAGAGTCTTACCGTCCAGGTGGCAGACTTTGCTGTACTAGACTGCTGGAAAGACACATCAAAGGTGTGGGGCCCAGCATAATCTGTGTTGGATGGGATGGCCGGTGAGGGAGAAAGGGCGTCAAAGGTGGAGCTGGGCTGGGCGTAGGGTGACGGTGCTGTCACGTTGTTCTGTGCATGGTCGTTGTTGTAGGGGCTGGTAGAGGTTGAGCCCCCGTTCTGAATGTTCTGATCCATGCTGTTCAGGAGCCCCAGGTTTGTATACTGCGACTGGAGACAAAATGGAGGGGGTGGGGGGGGCAAAGGAATGTCTTTGGTCATTACAGGAGAATTTCAAGGCGCTTCAATCTGACACAAAGAAGAATTAAGAGTTAGTCTGTCACATGTTAGACTGATCTACATAAACATTGAGAACGTGACAAAATTGTTCAAGAATTAGCTTTCAGCAACCGGTGTAATAGTTTTCAATTACTCACAGACACAGTTGGTAAATTATGCATATGCATGTAAATAATGCATGTTCAATGTTTTCAGTTCAAAATCATTGCCGTGAGCCCTTAAAGTGTGTTTAAGTTGAATGTACCATAAGAACACATGGTGGTGAAGAACACTTGAAGAAAGCATGCTACAAGGAAGTGGAGATCAAGAGACAGGAGATCTTGTTTCCAAAAAAAAAGGGTCCATGGTATAACATAAACCATGTTTCCTTGTGTTGTGTTTATGGTCTAGCTCCTTCCTGAACCAACATGTTAACACTCCTGAGATCATTGGCCTCAGAAATGTCTATATGGTAGAAATACAAAATCTGATTTTATAATTTAAATAATTAATAACAATAGTCTTGCTTTTGGGCCAGTGTTCTGCTACAAACTGTACTACTTCACCTTCTGATTCCCTTTTCCACAGCCACAACTATTCAGACATAAGGAATGGAATTAAAATATCTGCCTTTTAACAGGATGGAGAATACACCTGGGTCGTGGCCAGCCCCTTCCTGCATGCTCTGCTTGCCATTCACCCCATTCCTTTCTATTTATAAGTGGCACATTCCTGGACGAGGTGCCATGGCTCTCACTCTTTAGACAGCCATTAATCTCTCCAGGGCCTCTTGTTTATTTCAAGCACGGCTGACCACAGCTGTCCAGCACACACCCATTGCACTGCCAGGTGTTAGTGGTGTGCCAGATGACCAACAAAACACAGACTAGGTAGGCTATTTAGCTATTAATCAAGGTAGTGACTTATGAAGCAATGTTGCTGCTTTATTACATACAGATCCACACATACACAGTCAGACAGACACACCTGAGAGGTCATCTGAGTCAACCTCAGCATACTTGTGCAAGAGCGCCACAGGGGAGATAGCTGTTCGGATGAGGGTCACTGTGTGTGCGGCGCAAGGCTGCTTAACCTCCTGCAAACATGTGACACCAGGGGCTTATAAGAGCCTGTCTGGAGAACAATTATGCTGGGCATGCAGGTGTTAGGAGACAAGTGTTTTGTGAATGGAACACACACACACACACACACACACACACACCTTCAGAGAGAAAGAAAACTCCACTCTGGTGAAGACCCTCCAGACTTTAGCAGGGAGAGGCCTCCCCAAACACACGCTCCATTACAATGGGCTAATTACACACGTGTTATAAAGGTTTAAACTCAATGGGCTGAAGAGTGGCCCTGTGCATTTGATCTCAGAGGAGAAAAATGGGGTATGGTTCATATTGATGTGACTAAAAATGGCACAAGCTAATCAGCTACTAAAAAATTAAGATTTTTATTTTGGCATTGTGGATGAATAGAAGGAAAATATTCCCTGTTTTGCATGAGAGCTGACAGGGTGACACAATTTCCTGTTTTTGACAGTGTTTTCCCGTAGGTGAGAAGTCAGCGATCATGATAGTGATTCTATTGAACTGTGGCGCAATTCACTGCAGTGGAACGGAGGTGCTGAGCCGTTCAGAGATGACACAACCTCCCCCAGTACCTGATGCTGGCAGCTGCAAAGGTGGAAATGACAGGCACCAATTATCAATGTCAAATTATTATTCTAAAGAAAAGGTTGTTGCTGGCCAGAGACCAAACACAGATAAAAGCAGGGAGATAAAGCACAATGCCTGACACAGAATACTTAACATTAAATACAGGGCCCTGGATTATGCTTCTCATGATCTAAATGAATATAAGGTTCAAAGATGAGGATAAAGCCATAATTGACCAGATAGTGAAGCCCAGCAGTGGAGTCTCACCTATACTCATCATGTTTTAATGTTAAATTGACTGGAAGTGGGATATCAGCCTTTAAAAAAGGCGTGCACACCCTTTTTTCCCCCCAGGTTTCAGGCCTTCTGTTCGTTTCCTTTCATCAGATCTTATTCCACTATAATACAGCTACCATTTAATAACCACTTTAGCTGCTCTTAAAAATTCCTTCTGTTTATAGCCGACGCTGTGTTTAGACCTTTGGGACGTCAGGGTAAATCAGCAGCCTTGACATCCTCAACAGCCTTTAATAAAGTTTCTGAAAGGTTTTGCTGTCTGTTTGAGGCCTTCAAGCTAATTTCTTTGTCTGAGATAAATGCTGGGGTGAGCATTTCATGGGAAAAAGGAGACTGTTGACCTTCAGAGTTATGGCCTGTTGATTACAATGTAGGAATCTGAATTATCCAGAACACATATCAAAGACGCTTCAAATACACATGGCAGCACTAATTTAAAAGTTATAGCTAATGTCAACACAGTGGCATTTGGTATGACATACTGACATTCAAAATATTTCTTGTGTTGTACTTGGCCAATGGTCTAATAATTATTAATAGGGTTAACAAATTATAATATTGATATTTTATTATTAGTATAATGGTGCTCTCTGCAGCTGTCAAAACATAAGTGTCTGCGAGGTTAGCTTAGAGGTGCTGACCGGTTTCTGATTTATATGTTACTTTGAGCATCATTAGCAACAAGGTACAAAAGATTGTGATTTACAAGGAGCACATCTCCTAGTAAAATCCTGCCCCCTCTGCAGCAGTCCCTCCATCAACACCATGAACGCCATACAAATGCATAAACTGTAAAATAGCTTTATGTTTGAAGACTGCAACACATTAATCTCCATGATCTTTAAGTAAACATACATGAATTCTCCAGTTGCTGCTCATGTTAGGTGGTCACAAAGTGTAAGCACTGGTAAAGAGCTTGGACGACAAACAGGTGACAGGAACCGGTGCAGACCTGGCCTGAGGGGGGAATAGCTCCCATTCCAGGCTCTCTGGTGACCTGTTCCATGTACCTTGGGCAAGCATATATAAGAGCATCTATGGGACTGTGATGAGTGACCACAGGGGAGGGAGGCATTAAAGGCTCAACAGGGCTGGGGGTTGAGGTGGGGCTGGGTGGGGGTCTATCTACACCTTATACCTCCTGGGGTGGGCAGAGCAGGTGATTGTATCTACATCAACACACCATTAAAGCAATTACGATCCTGGACTAAACAGCAGAGTCTGGCCAGCCGCATTCTAATGGCTACGGCGGCTCCCAGGAGACTGGGGACTGGGGAACCCGATACCTCACACACAAGAGGGATTGAGCCGGACACCACTTAAAAGACCCCCTGCTCAACAACTTAAAAGACAGTGACCTGACACACCTGCTATCTGCAACCTGCAATCTGAGAATCTATCACCGCTCACTTGCTCGGCATTAAGTTTGGATGCAGGATTTTGTTGGTAAAAACACAAGACGCATGACACAATAGTTCACTGAAGCAACCAACGACAAAGAGAAGTGGAAGCCTAGGCAAAGATCAGATACTGACAATTCAGAAAATAAATAATGTGTTTCCTATAAATTAGACTTACTAACAAAGTTTAGTTTTTGTCTTTTTAACAAATAATTCTCGTCTCAAATACTGTAAGCCAACGTTTCTGCTTGCTACTGTACCATTATGGTTAAAGTGAAATGATGTGATACCAAGCAACTTCCATCAGAATAATGCCTTGTTGCCTGATTAAAAAAGAAGCTGAAACTAACTTTAATAAAAGCGTGATTTGATATTTAATTCACTTTAAAACATCCTTTAAGTGTTTGTCATCACACTCTGCAAACAGATCCATTACTCATGACACTTGCACTTTGAAAGTGAAAAACGGAAATAGAACCTCTGAATTTTATTTCCCGAATAAGAAATGTAATGCAGAGTGATGCATTGAAACCATTTTTTTGGCCATTTATGGTTTGCTTTGTCTGCGAAACAACAGAAGAACAGTTAATGTAAATGTCAGAGATCTAGGAGAACAAACGAAAACTCCTGGTCCCATGAACATCCTTCTCTAAATTCTTTACGAATAAAACACAAATAAATATCATTATAGTTTCTAATCATTAAAATAACCTACATTATGGTGCTTTTCTATTTTCTTTTTCATTCTTTATATTTTCCCGAGATTTGCCACGGAAGGAACGGATAAATCAAAACCTTTTGATTTTAACACTCATACAACAACATCATCTTCGTCAACTCACTAAATCCAAACCCAGCCAGACAGCAGCCATTTCACAAGAGGACATACAGTCGTTCTCCAGGTGTTTACATTCCCCTGCTCTCTGGACTGACATACGCACACAGATGTGCACGCAAACACACACATACTGTCAAAAGCAAAAACATCTGCCACGCGTTAACTCAATGTAAAACCTGATTAGAACAGGCCATTTATATTTTCTTTTACTTGAATGCCTGGGTTACACCAAAAATTATCCAGTAAATAATAATACACAACAACATAACAAGTCCAAAGTTTTGGATCATTTCACTGACTGAAACACTGAAGTCCCGAAGTACAAGGCCTTTTACTCATATGTGATATTTCATTAGTCCCATGGAGCTCTGGGAAACTAACTAAAAGATTGGGTGCGATGGATGAACAACCCATTACCAGTTCCTCCGTTGGTCTTACCTCGCTGTAAGATGTGGTGGACCCCGTCTCCAGGTACAACATGTTGGCGCTGAGATTGAGCAGAGCTGCTGCTGTTTGCTCCACTGGCTCCAGGATTCCACAAATCTCTTTTCCTCACTCTAAAGGAGTGATGTTGATCACAGATGCAAAGTGGACAAGCAGAAGCTTCTATAGGAATCTATGGGAAGGTCATATATACCAGGGAGAGAGGGGAGGGTCTAAGAAGCTACCTGTCCAATACCTGAGTCCACACCCATCTCCAGAAGAAGCGCCGTCTCCCCACCCTTCCTTTGAGGCTCTGCAGGGCTCCTC